TGTTTTGCATAATCCACCAAATTAGTTTCCCATGATCATCCCATGATATTCAGTTGGCTGACGAGGTCTCAAGACAGGAATAAATGGGCTTTCGGGTTCACAGACTTCCTAAATGCTATACTTCATTTAAGTCTCAGTAATAGCATCACTTGTTCTGTCTAAAAAGCGGAATTTTTATGTCTTTATCCACGACATCTCGGGTGATGTGGGTCATGCCCGGGCTGAACGGCGCACCGAGGAGCAACACATTTGGGGGATAGGACATTCCGATGATAAATCAGGAAGTTTTGACTGCCGCATCTCTGGTAAAAAAAACCCATGTAATTAGCTGAATGTGATTCAGAATGCCTCGCAAGCTGTTTGTGGTCACAACAGTACTCTGAGCGCTTATATACGCACGCTCGATTTAGAGCTCTATGTCATAACAGGAAATGATGTCACCTCAGCCTGAGGCTCGATGTCGTCTCCTCTGTCAGCAACCAGGTTGTCAAAAGTAGCTTTACAGGAAAACCGTTTTTACTGTTGTAGGGTCTCTGATATTTTGGGCCACCGTCTGTCTAAACTGGGGCTTTTGTTTACCCTAATTATATTTACCTGAACCTTAATTACCTTCACTGTAAATATTTATCTTAATTGACTTATTTTGTTCCCACTACAATCTTACAGACGACACTCCCACAAGCCGAACACTCCCTCAGGTGTGATTTATGAGCTCTCTCCCACCCAGTGACCTTCTCGGCTGCTTACTCACTTCTTCCCTCCAGCTTCCATCTGTTTGACACCCTGATCCCCACCACAGCCAGCCACCTTTGCGATCACCACTTAAAAAGAGCTGTTTAAAGGAAATTCCTTTGAAGCAACCACAAGAACCATCCAGTGGGAAGGGCTTCAGCTGGTTTTTTGTTGTTTTTTTTTTACTGGTATTTTGCTTGTGAGTCACATGCAAAAAGTATTAATGTGACCTGACCACCCTTTGGTTTGACTCACATCTTTTCTTGCTGACTACAAATGCCAGGGCTGGATAATTTGAAGGCCTCGTCAGTAAAAAGGGCTTTCCATGGTTAGAGGAAGACCCGTTTTGTTGTCACAGTCGTGGGGCAGTTCTCATTGAACCTGTTGTTGAAGGAGTGGCGGTCACTGGTTTCCTTTTCTTCCTGACCCCAACACAATACTATCAGTAGTCTGGAGTCTCAACACAGGAAGTAAGCATCTGGAACCTACTGATGAAGCAGAGCAGACCGTTTTTTTTTTCCTTCTTTTACCTAACAAACAGCTCATAATTTCCCCGAAGTAAGTTACGTTAAAAAAAATACCCAGTTTTCTTCCAGGATGGACCTTCGAGTGAATCATGTTTTACTTGGAAGCAACTCTTGATAGTCATTTGTGGTCATGTCCTGACTTGGCAAAACGAGTGTTAATGAGCAGCTGCATTAACAAACGCTTTGTTCTGGGTTTTACCTGGGATGTGTATGCTGATGTTTTTAGCAAAGTGTCATCTAAAGACATTTTTAGTGTGTATTAATGTGTAGAATGTGCCAATTTGACAATTAACAGCTGCTCCTGTGATGACACATGTTATGTTTTTTATTCTGTTTATACACTTTGATGCACACAGGAATAGTTTTTGACGTGCACAGTAAGTTTCATTACATAATTTTAACTGGAAATTTAATAAACAAGCAGGTGCACATTTCACACAGCGCATGTTGTTTACCCACATCATTTCACATATATGTAAAAAGCTGAGCTGTAATTTCAATTTTCTCTACCCCCGGAGAGGGAATATGGGGCAACAGACAGAAATCTCAGCTCGCATTAATTTCTCCGTCACACCCTTTCATCCTCAACTTTAAAATCTAGCGTGTGCAGGCAGCTTTTCCTGGTCGTAGAGCCGAGTTAATGGCACATAGACGGCTTATTCAGCTGCTCGGACAAATATGCTGACGCCTCCAAAAACCCTGAAATAGCCTGACCTGAGATGGACGAGGAAAAGGGAAATCGTAAAAAGGAAGGCATAGAACAGCAGAGTCCATGTGTCCTGTGGTCTGGTTTCACTGCCCACCTGTTATGACAACAGACTGAAGTTTGGATGCTGAAGAACAGATGATTTGGGTCGATTGCAGGAGAAGCAAAAGTCTGATTAACTGTAATTGTGTTCCAGCTGTGTGTAGAGTTTTATGTGTTTTTAAAGCGTGTGTAGAAATATGTTGGGAGAGAAATTACTCAAGCGCATACCCAGAAATACAAACAACACACTCCCTTAACTTTGCTGTCAGCGTGCTTACAGTTTAAACACCGAGATGTGAATTATGTTGGTGAAAGAGACGAAATGCCTCGGAGTCAGCAGCATTAGGACGCGTTGGGAAAAAGTTAAAGGGTGTTTGTGAGAAGTGGCAGGTGCCCTCACACCTGTTGTAGGCATTCCAGACGTATACGTGCTGCCCCAGGCCTCAGCTGGCTGCACATGCTGTCAGGCTTCAGTAAAAGTGTTCCTCAGCACACCACATTTTTGCAAAGGGCGTGCTCGTGGAGCTTCCCTAACGTGTGACCTCACGATAGCGAACTTGAAAAAGTGGTTGTGAAGTAAATCCTGCTGGTTTTGTGCTTTTATCATTTTTACATGATTTTTAATTGAAATGCTGTTGCTGGGTGTAAAATCTAAACGATCTTTGTTAAAGGAGCACTAACGTACCTCTTTCTTTTTTCTGTGTCTGTGCAAAGCTTCATTCTAGTTTTTCCTTAGCAGCGTTTGACGCTGGAACATAACAAAGGTGTGTAGTTGTCTAACCTGTTGCTCCAAATAAACACTAAAGAGCAGCAGGTGGTTCTTGACCCTGATTTATTTTTTATTACCTGCATCACATTCAAAAGGGTGAGACCGCCCTGAGGCTTGGCTTCTGTTTCTTTTATCTCCTTTCATGCACTGTGACTTCTTCACATCCCCAACGTCTCTCTGAAATGCCGATCTGGCGAGATGAGCAGAAAAGTCTGTTCCCTCTCGGAGGATTATTCGGCCCCCGACAACTGCTGAACAGCCGAGCCGCGCTGCCAGAACACATCAGGCCGGGGAACGCTGGAGGGTCGGACGGGAGCGAGGTCAGGGTTACGCTGTGAGAAAAAGGGAGGAGGGGGCTTCTGGAGCGCTGGAATCTTGGTTCACTGGGGGCTCCGGCCTCTTCTTTCCTCTCGTGCAGTCACTTTCTAGCCTCTAAGTAATGTGAGTGAGTGCAGTTGTGTGGGGACTAAAATAAGCACATAGCTTCACATGCTAGAAACATGAGTCTGTGTCACACTTCATATGTGACCTGCTGCTGGCAATTAACCCTCAGATAGCCTGGATTATTTACAATCCAGTGGTTCTAACCTAAAACTATCAAATAAATCTGGAGAGGTGATAGATGGACAGTACTTGTGCAGCCAAAGGTCTGAAAGTTTGTTCGCTGCACAGATTATTCAGTACCATGAGAGGTGTAGAGATTCAGTCTGTCCTGATTCCCTCACATTCTCACCTGAGCTGCAATTTTCAGACAAATTAACTGGATTTACAACCTGAAATTCAGACATATTTAAAAGAGGAATTTTGAAAAGTCTCAGAGACAGTCGGATGTAAAAAATGTGGTCTAACGTGAAGGAGAAAAAAAACGTTTGCTGCCCAAGCGACACAACATCAGCTTGTTTTTAAAGCGTCGTATACAGTCGCTGATGAATACGTACTGTTTTAATAATAACCAATAATGATCACTTCATACTGACACTGTGATCTGGAGCTAATGTCTAATGGCACCAAAAGTTTGTCATCCGAAGCTCTGCGTGTTTTGGCAGGAAGCTGCTGATGTTCCTGTGGTTGAAAGATTAAAATATGATGTCGACCACGTGCTCTGGTACCTCGCTTTAGGTGGTGATGTGTTCAGTTTGTTTGGTTTATCAGAATGTTCTTTAGGGTGACAGTAAGTTATTGATGTTGAGCTGATCTGGTGATGAGGCAAATCGAAAGACGCTGTATGTCATATTGTCTCTGTTTGTTTTTTTCCCCCCTCCTTTTGAGGTTGACTTTGGTTTCACCAACTCAACTAATAACCTTTTCTGTGGCCTGCAGATACCTCATGTTGTCGTAGTTGTCTCTCCAACAAACCCATCGGTAGCTTGAAGCAGTCATGTGATCGTCTTTGGGGTTGAGCCCCTCATCAGACATGAATTCACGCTGCTGAGCTGTTCATGAGCTGCACACTCAACTTCTAAGAGCTTTGCGTTGTTTGTGTATTTCACCTCCTACCACAAATTTATCCAATTATATGTTAATAAACTTATTGAGTCAACTTAAGACAGTCAGAAAATCTCTCGTCAGAATAAAATCACTCCATGAAGACGAGCCAAAACTTTTTAACTCATGAGTTCAGTTTCAAATTAAAGCTAAATTGTTGAATCAGGGCTTTTTTGAGACTGTGCCAGTTTAAATTTCACGTGGTCGCATCGGTACGAGATGCATGATGATCATTAGGCTGTATTAGTGTCGCTGTAACTGGCACAGTGGTGGGTAGTAGTGTCTCAATAACTTCAGTGTACTGTGGTATTTACGCTTCTCGTGAAAAGCGGAGCGCACATAGAAGTGCTGTGAAAACACTGCATGTAGAAGAAATTGCTCGGGTTAATTTTGGGCAAATCTGACATTAGATTGTCTTGTTTGTTGTTTTCAAAGTAATTTTTAGCCACCAGGCAGCAGCTACTTCATCCTGCAGTCAACATCGGTAGCTTGTGCTATCGATAAGAAAATGTTCAGCAAGTCATATGTTCTGTCTGTGACGAGGTGGAAGGTGCAAAGAGAAATTTGGTCACACCGGTGCTACTCATCCCTCCACATTACTTTCTCTGTATTCCACACAAACAGACAGCAGTGCACCACTAAGCTATGATATGTTGTCACTGTACACATTTGGTGACACTGGTGTGATTTATGCCAGTTCTACTGTTTACTGATGTCAGTTTTGTCTCCTTCCTTCTAGATTTGGACATGAAGAAGGATATAGACACGCTGATAGCAGAGGAACGGGCTGAAATCATCTCTAAATATGACACGGTAAGTACGCGCCGTTGCCGTGACGGTGATGATGGCCTCCCTGATCACCAGTTTGCAGCCACGCTTTGGTGATTCATAACAAACACATCATGCACTTGAGCTTGTGCAGCTTGTAAACTGTCACGGTTCATTTGGAGGAAGCTGCACTGATAAGCTTTTTCCTGCACTGCCCAGCTTAGTGTGGAGACTGATTTCTAGCACTCCCGAATGAGAGATGTTTTATTTCTGAATATTATTTAACCTAAAAAGTAAAGTGGAGTGCAGCTCTCTGTCAGTGTGATGAGTAAAGAGGTGACCAGGCTCAAAGAAGAAAAATTCTATCAGATAGTTATTAAAGATGCTTTGCCAAAGTCACCACTTGGGTATAATCTTGAAGGAAAACTAGAAAACGTCTGCGTAGCAAGTCCAGGATGCAGGCCTACAGGTTTCCTTGAAAACAATCGAGAGAAGACTACATGTCCAATCGCAGAAGATTTACTACAAAATGTAAACCCCTGGTGAGCCTCATAAACAAAAGGCCGGGTCGCAAAAACCAGGAAAGAGGGGCCTCAAAAGGAACCGCTCGGGGTTCAAAGCATGCAATCTCACTTTTCAGACCTGGTTCTGGTTCTGTTGTGGGTTGGGCGTTTATGGCTGCAAGTGGGAATCTTACAATAAGCGGTGGCTGCTTGGGAGAGCATCACCCAGATCATCTGCTGATGTCAGAGGATCCATGAAATGTTAAACATGATGATGATGTTGGGCCAAATTACAAACTTTCCAGTAACTTTTCAACCTTAAAACTTTGTGTGCCATGTGTTAGAAGGAGGATATTTCCTCTCACACCTTCTCGAATCAAGCTTGAAGAACAAAACTGTGATGATGATCTGTGCTTTGTGTGGATGTTTCAGGGCAGGCAGGAGGGTGTCAAGATCGACCCATGGGAGGATGCTGACTACAGCATTTATAAAGTCACTGACCGCTTCGGCTTCCTGCAGTGAGTGAATTTTAAGCTTCTTTGTTGTAGTTTCGATTCTTTGAAAACACTTTGTTGTGTCTCCGTTTGCTCCTCTTTCTGTCTCCCACATTTCTCTCAATATAATTTGATTTCTTCATGCTTTTATCTTTATCACATTTTCTGCTCCAGTGAGGAAGAACTGCCGACACCCAGCGCGCTTGAAGAGAAGGTGTGGACTCTTTTTTTTTTTTTTTGCTGCATAGCAAGTTCAGATATTGACCTTGGATATCATATATTTATGCCCTTTCACATATTTAGTGGCTCACATGTTGGCGTGTCTTTCCTCTCCCCAGCAAAAGCAGCAGGAGATCGAGCGAGTGGAGAAATGGCTGAAGATGGTGAAGAAATGGGAGAAGTACAGGAACAGCGAGAAGGTCGGTGGTGGCATCCGTCAGACACAAACATACCGTCTCAATTTAGCCCCGTTTCCCCCTTTTTTTTTTTTTTTTCCTACTCAGCCATGGGATGTATTATTTCCGTTTCTGTTTGTAATCTGTTTTCCATTCCCCTTTAGCTCATTCCTTCATCCCTCCCCTCTCTCTGGTCTAGACAGTTAAAACAAGTACATTAGATGAGAGCTTGTCCTTCAGGAGGAGAGTTAGGCTACACCCCATAAAGCAGAACTCATACAAGACCCTTTGTCCTACGATTGCTGTGGTTGTCTTTTTGTGTTCCCTGTTCATGCGTCTCTCTCTTGCATGTGTTTCAGCTGGTCAAGCGTGTATATAAAGGCATTCCTCTCCAGCTAAGAGGCCAGGCCTGGGCCTTGCTGTTGGACGTAGAGAAGGTTAAACAAGATAACCAGGGAAAATATGAGGTATTATTCCTATAGAATGATGATGAATCCAGCACATATGAATATGGGAATATTTTCTGATGATTGTCACTTTTCTGTTCCCCAGAAAATGAAGCAGCAGGCACGCAACTACTCCACCGAGATCAAGCAGATCGACTTGGACGTCAACAGAACCTTCAGGAACCACATCATGTTCATGGACCGCTTTGGAGTCAAGTGAGTGCTTAGCTTCGCTCCTGAGCAGTTGATCAGTTTACCAACGCGGGGCCATGATTTCTTCATTTCCTCATTGCGACCCGAAAGAATTGTGTTCAAAACATTGAGTCATTTGTACCTACATAAAGCATTCATTTAACATATCACCGTCCTACGAGGTCGAACAAGCGGCACAGGTTTTGTTGTTGTTAGAAACTCCTACAACCTCTTTTTTGTTTCAAAGCGACGTTCTTGTTTTTTGTTTTCGCTGTCACCTCACATGCTCAGGTTTGGCATCACTGAGGCTCCTGCAGGGTGTGACCTCTGTCCTAAACCTTGCAGCAGCCTCACACACACACACACACACACACACACACACACACACACACACACACACATGCACACACAAAACCAAAGTGGTGGTTTCCTCCTCTCAGCGTTTTATTAGCCTTCCTGTCAGTGCACAAAGCCCCACAGGAAATGGCATTCATACAGAAATGTGCACCGACATCAAGCGTACATGTTCAGAATAACGCTTCCACGACATGAAGAAATAATGCAAAAAAAATACAAAAATAAATTAAACATACATTCAATAACGTTCAAAAGACAAAACCTTGTATTTTACTACATTGATTTAGGACAATGTGAACACCGTCTTAGATTAACTCTGAGCTTGTTGCTGAGTTCTGTCCTCCTGCTCTGTGTAACGTACTTCCCCTTCGATTCAAAGCCGCTGAGTCCAAACAGACCCAAACACCGCTCCATCCTGCTCGGCTGCCCACTCCTTCCCTGCGAGTCAACAGCTGTCTTACTCACACCGAGACACTGACAGCTATTTAAAGCTCCTTTCCTGTCTCTGTCACTGTCTATAAGACGTGTATTTACTATAGAGGCCTGGAGGGGAGACATCCTCCCCACGTCTAGATTATATTTGTTAATGCCCCTGCTCCACTTACATGCACATTCGCGCACACACAATGGCCGCCTTGTGTTCGGCGCCTGAGACAGTCGGGACTCCAGATGTAATCAGCGACGCGGCGCACAACCCTGCGGTCCCAGAAACTGGATAGAAGCGGCATGCTTTGGGGGAAAAAAAATAAAAAATCTCTTTGATATTCATGTATCGCAGCATCTGCTCACATATATAAAATCATACTAAACACAAGATCCACTCTAAAAGGGCAGCTTGCAGAAAGACATAAAAGCTGTTTTTAAAAATACAATCCTGAGCATCACCACAGCACGAGTACATCACAAAAGGCTGCTCACACATTCAGACTTAAATGTAGCAGCAATAAAAGCTGCTAGCTGAGGCAGAGGTCTGTTATAGTGAGGAACGCTATCCACAAAACATACAGCGTTATACAAACACCACCAGGATGATATGAAGGTTTGTCAGCCTCCCTGCAAATATTTGCAGCTGTTTTTAGTCTCTCCGTGTTGATTGATGGAGGTCGTTTTAGGATAAGGAAGTTGAGAAATTATCACTCATGTTGGGGAATTTTCACATATTTAACTCCGCTTCACTCTGAAGCATCGACTCAACTTGTTTGATTGTTTTTAAGGAACCGTGTCCTCAATTTAAACGGCGGTTTCTCTGTTCCCTCCACAGGCAGCAGGCCCTGTTCCACGTACTAGCAGCTTACTCCGTCTACAACACGGTGAGTGAGTTTGTATATATGCGCATACTTAACACGGCGTTACATAATACGGAGGAGTCCTGTGTACACTGAAGTCCGTCGAGTGTGTTAGTTTCTGCAGGAACGGGCCGAGCACTCTAGACCCATCTTTGCTCGTTCTTGTTTCCAGCCTTGGGTGAGATCTTTTATTTATGAGCGTGGCTCAGCCTGAATGTACAGCAACACAGTGTAAGAGTCAGACCACCGCCGTTCACACCAGATTCCCCTTTTGACACGACATGTGCTGCTTCAGACGGTGGAGCTGAAACCAGACCGATTGTTTAAAGGGTTCTTTGACGTAAAAACGCAGAACATCGTCCAGCCCTCTGGACTGTACGGGCTTTCTGCAAAACGTTTTGTCCACCTCAAGTTCTCATTTTTCACAACACCACAGATCAGTTTCATTTTCAACTTTCATTTTTGATATTAACAAGTGCGGTTGTGGATTCTGAGGGCGGACATAATGAGGATTTGTTGCATCTACTTGAGAGTCCTTTCCTCTGGGGTGAAATCCGGCTTTTATTTTTATATATTTTTATTTTTCCTTTATTTAACCAGGTAGGTTAATTGAGAACAGATTCTCGTTTACAATAACGACCTGGCCAAGAGGCAGCCCAGAGCAGAAAATGCAATATATCCATAAACAACAATACACAAACAAACAATAAAAGGCTTTGAAGATAAAATAAAAGCAGGTACAGGACCCGGTAAGTAGTTGCTTCACCATATTTTTAAAAAAAGATAAAGATATAAATACACTGAGTTTGAGTGTTTTTTGTAAGTGGTTCCAGTCGAGGGCTGCAGAAAACTGAAATGAATTTTACAACTGAGCAGGAGTTATCTGTGTCATTACATTGACAAATGTACCGTAAACCATCGTATGTATTCGTAGCCTGTATCTTTACATACACATCCATATTAATAAAATACTCCATCTGCAGACAGTCTTTCGTTACAGTACATCACCTCTCTCGCACAAACACAGCCCAGTTCTGTTTTTCTGATCGGGTTCTGTAGTCAATTCCTGTGTGGTGGAGGTGTTCGAGCCAGAGGAAATGGGCATGTGCCGTTCCCTTTTTCCGTTTTCCCCTCTTCTCACACACCGCTCGTAAGAAACTGGGTCAGTGGGAGAGCCGAGAGAGAGAAAGGAAGGGAGAGATGGAGGCGGCGGCGGAGGGGGGGTTAGGCTGTGTTTGTCCTTTTCGCCTATGTGATGGTAGAGAAGAATGTGGAGAATGTGTAGTTTAACCTCACTGTAACCCTACGTTTATTTACTGAGTGTATTTCCTTGAAAGGATACTTTGGAGTGTCAATCTGAAGCTACTCGATAAATCGGCCTTAATATGGACAAATACCAAGCGCGTGTCTGCGCTCGCCGTGGGCTACTTTAGTGTAAATCATTGAATCATTGTGGGGTAATTCAAGTTGAAGACATGACATTACCGAGAATTGATGTCAGGCTACTGTAAATATTTGAATAACCTTTGCGTTGAGTGTTTATAGCACCGTAGCAGTACAACTATGCACTTCCACAGATTGCGCTCAGACCACATCAGACATTCAGGTGCTCGCCTCCCTTCATCTGTGTGTGTGCTCTATTAAATTATGAATAGTTCCTCTCATTTGCCCATTCTGTTTAACTGAAGTGTTTTTTTGTTTTTTTTTTTCTCGTGTGCTCCCCCAGGAGGTGAGCTACTGCCAGGGGATGAGTCAGATCGCTGCCATCTTGCTCATGTACCTGAACGAGGAAGATGCCTTCTGGGCTCTGTCCCAGCTCCTCACCAACAGCAAACATTCCATGCACGGTGAGACAGAGGAAGAGATGTAGACGGGCAGAAAAAAGCAGAGCTGATTTAATGTCTCGCAGCTTTTCTCGGGAACCAAAATACTGACTTGATGAGTTCTCTCGGGAGGGGAAATCACCGTCTGTAAACACTACACCTCTGCCATCACCACCACACACCATTTATGGTCTGCTCATTTTTTTATTATTTTTGTCTATGCTAGGGTTCTTTATCCCGGGGTTTCCCAAGTTGCAGCGCTTCCAGGCTCACCATGAACTGATTCTCTCCAAAATGCTGCCCAAGCTGAAGAAACACCTGGTGAGTTACTGCACATCTGTCTGACTGATGCTTTACATGGCCGCAGTAGACACTGATGGTTTAGAAGGTTAGAGGCTGCAGCTGATTTAATCATTTCTCATTTTCTGTTTAATTTATGTTGCCAAAGACCACATGTTAATAGTATTACTGCTGCTCTAAGAGGCAGAAAAGTGAGATTTATAACTGAGAGCGTATTTTGAGGAGCGACTTCCCGTAGAGATGTTTTCTCATTAATTCCCGTCCCACAGGACAAGGAGCAGATGACAACGGGGATTTACACCACCAAATGGTTTCTCCAGTGCTTCATTGACAGAGTGAGTATTTGGATATCCGCAGCTTTTCCAACATAAATCTGCATAAATGTTCCCTCTTAGGACCTCCTCGGTTACACGTCTAACCCCATGTATCAGTATATCACCGCGCATTCGTTTGCTTTCCTTTTAAATGTAGAACTACATCCTGGCTTCTGTGATTCTTTTTTGAGACTCTTTATTGACTCTCTCCTGCTGTGTCTTACGTAACAGACCCCCTTCACCCTCACCTTGCGTTTATGGGACATCTACATACTGGAGGGGGAGAAGATGCTAAGTGCTATGGCGTACACAACCCTCAAGTTGCACAAAAGTGAGTATGAGGCTAATTACATTATCTTCTCGTGCCACGCTGAGCTAAATGAGCCAAGCCAGCCTCATGCCCAGACCCAGCCATGGCTGCTGTTGCTATACCAGTTACCAGCTACCGTGTGGATTACTTCCTCTCGGTTGGCTGCCTCCTGACTGGATGGCTTACATAACACAAGTGGCCGGTTGCTGTGGAGAAGAATCAGAAGCTGACTTTTCATTGGATGCATACACAAGCATTGTCTCCGGCATATTGGCTGATTTCTTGCAAAACAAACAGGCCAGTTCTTTACTTGGTGTCTCAAAGCGTTGAATTAACAATGCAATTTCTAATTTTAGTTCACCATGTCACAGAGATTACTTGATTTTTTTATCCGCTTAGGTTAACTTCCTTCTCTTTTGTGTCTGTACAATCAGAGCGTCTGCAGAAGCTCCAGCTGGAGGACCTGAGGGAGTTTCTTCAGGAGCAGCTCGAAGTTTCTTTCCTTCTGCCTGACGATGTGGTGGTGGAGCAGCTACAGGCCGCGATGTCTGAGCTACGCAGTAAAAAGCTGGACCAGCCTCCACCAGGTGGACATGTCTTCTTTTATTTCCCTTTTTCAGTTTTAAGCTCCGTTCATCTCCTTTATCTGATACATTCCAAAGTGCTTTTTTTTCTCCCCTTTCTTTTGTTTATGTAATCCGTATTTTCCGTTTCCTTTTTTAGCCAAGTCAGAGGAGCTGCCAAAAAAGCCTCTGGGTCAAGAGAGACCAGTTCTTCTAATGCCGCTGCAGCCTGACTCTCCTCTGGAGGTAAAAATAAATCTGCAGCCTCACAGCCAGCCAGATACAGAGACCCAGCAACCAGATGGCATCTCTCCACATCAGCCCTCTTCTCCCGCCGAAACCCAGGACTCACAAAGCCTCTCCAGGGCAAACACACCTAGTTTGCCTTCACCAGACCCAGTTGTGGTCCACACACAAGGAACGCCTTCTCCTCTGAGGCCTTGTAGAGCACCTCCGATACCTCCAAAAGCAGACAAGCCCTGTGCTGACGTAGGCTTGGTCAGAGATGTGAAGGAGTCACTCCCTGTGGTTGGCCAAGACGGGGATAAGAAGCCCAGAAACCCCGAGACCCAGGAGGAGCCGCCTGTGGACTGGCCTCCGCCCTATGAGCCCCCTTCTCTGGATACTCTGCAGATGGAGGAGGAAATCATGGACCTTCCAGATCTTCCACCTCCACCTTTCTTTTTCCCTGAGCAGAGTGACCAAAGGGCTCTGGACAGGAAGTCTCCCTGCCTGAATGCAAGGCCGAGCCCAGAACCCCAGCGATACTCTCCTTCCCCCCGTTCAGCCTCACCACTCGTCACTCAAGTGAAGCAGTCTCCCAAACCATGCCTGAAACCACCCACGTCTCTTGACCTTGCACAGAAAAAACCTCTTCCCCCTAAACCCTCCCCTCACCGTGCCTTCACAGCATCCTCCTCTCCCAGACCTCCCCCGAAGCCGACCAAGTTCCCCGTCTCTCTGTACGTCCCGGTGTCGGCGGGGGACAGACGGCCCTCCAACACCTCCCAGTACGACAACCTGTCTGAGGCCGACGAGGACGACCGCTACCTGGAGAGGCTGCTGGGCTCCACTCCTGAGGAAACTACCAGCATGCACAGCAACCCGCCGTATGCCGTCGACGGAGACTACGACCCCGCTCTCTACCCTCTGCCTCCACCTCCCGTCTTCATCCCTCCTTCCCCTTCTCCCATTCCTCCCTCACTGTGTGCGCTCACCAGTTTGCCTCAGGAGCCAGAATATGAAGGAGAGGACAGCTGGGTGGAGGATTCCATCATTCCCCCTCCTCCCCCCAGTTTTGCCGACAGACTCTCTCCCTTTCAGTGCGCCGCTGCCAGCTGTTCAGACACACACAGAGCCATGTCGCCTGGTTACTCTAAGCCTTTCTCTCGGGGCCCCAGAGACCATTCTGCCTTCCCAGCACCGCTGTTGTACACTGGGTCTCCCCCTGGTCACTCCAGGTCCTCAGGACAGTCACCAGTGGGGATGCCCTTGGTTCAGTCCAGCCCAGACTTTTGCAGGATGCCTCCAGGTGGACAGCAGCTGCCCAAATCAGTGACTTTTTGAAGTGTTGTTCTTCAAAGCCAGTTGAGAAGAGAAAGGCCAGTAGCTACTCAAAGGTTTTTGTGCGTGTGTGACTTTTTTTTTTTTCATGAAATGTACAGATTTCTGTGATACTTGCGTCTTCTTTGTAAGGCCGGTAGTGTCAAACTTATATTTAAAACTGCTGGCTGTGTTACTGTTAGCTGCACAAAAAAGTGAGTGCATTAACTCGCCTGCTCTTGTTACTACACGAGACCGCATTGGGTTTTAATTTGACGGACGGAAATGCAAAATTTACACAAGGTGCTTATACCAGCTGCACATTTCAACATTGCTTCATCTCCAGTTAGTCTCATTGTGTTCCAACAAAGTGTCTTAACCTTGTAACAGTGCGCTGAGTGTTGCAACTCTTAACACAAGGGCTTTGCGGTCGCCAAGTAAGATCATCGTTGCAGCCAGAGCCTTTTACATTTATAGTGAACTGTGAGCAGGCTCACACATCCTCACAGGACGTCAGAAACTGTTGGAATAACTGCAACATATTTGGGTTAATACTTGACAACAAAGGACCACTAAACCACGTTGCACTAAAGCAGTGCGTGCGCAAACTTTTTTTAAAGAATTGCTAAAGTCGTAACCACCAGCAGCAGTGAAGAATGGTGCAATATATCCTCGGTGTAAATACTGAAGCGAGTTTCTTCCACGTGTCCGGACAGCTTTTATCCCCATCCAGGTAGCAGCGGGTACTCTGTGGGTATTTTGCTGCTTTTTTTTTTGTTTGTTTGTTTAAATGTTTCTGTTAGGATGCTGTCAGTGTTATACCCGTTTCACAGCAATACCGTATCGTGTATATGTACATGCATGTATCAAGGTTAAATAAGACTTAAATAAGGATTCAATGAATGCAACATATCAGCACAGACTGTTTTACAGGAAAAGGAAGAAAAAAACAAACACTTTTTTTTTATGAGAGTAGCTCCATCTAGTGGTCAGAGGTGTTACACGGCGACACTTGCTGGATTTACTCTCTAAATGGAAGTCCTTACATTTTAGCTTGCATTTTGGTGACAAGACCTCTCATAAGGAACCAGCTCTGCCCACAGATATTAGCTATATGCCTGTTTATGAATGTGCACATAGTAAGATAGACATACAGCCCTGTATCACACTGATGAAGACTGTTACAGACCAGCGGAGGAAAGCAAATGAATCAAAAGCTATATTCATTCACAGCCATATTTCAGAGCCATTGCAGTGTAATTTAATTTAATTGCTCCAAGCAAATGTTCTTGAGAAATGGAAGATGAGCCATAATATACTGTACAAGGACCTACTGTATAGTCAAACATGTTTATACTGTTGTTTCTGTTATATATGACATTATATATTGTGTCTAAACATGAGTTTTGTTTTTTTGCACTGACATTTGTCATTATAAACAGGTTTTGCAGTTCTCTGTATTGTTTTTCTAATGAAGTTGCAAGTTCGTGCTCAAACTTTGGTCTGGGTTTTTTTGTTTTTTAGCATAGACTCATGATGAAGTACATTCTTGCACAAGAACTTGGATCTTGGCATCCGCACAAGTATGTCTGGCTCGCTGGAGTATATTTTGTCACGTGATCTCGCCACCAAACTGTACATCACTACTCCTTTTATGGAACTGGCTGACATCAGGGAGGGCTCAGACCAAAGCTTTGGTGCATCTATGCAACTATGTGAGTTTTATAAAGAGACAAACCGTGCTTGTCTGCCTGTCGCTGTATTTCTTTCCACAAAGACGAACCACATCTGCTGTCAGATATTTATTGCACACCCACAAAATCATGTCGTCCTATTTACAGTGCATATCTTAGGTTGCTTCGTATCGAGCTGCGCAAAGTCTTTTTACACAGTCAGGGTAAACAGAAGTGAGAGTAAAGAACATGGAGGCACTTAAAAGCTTTTTCATTAAATATAGAGACGAGGTGACAAACACACGTTCTCATTGAGGCAATCGATTGCACCCTGTTCAGCACATAGCGCACATGCTTCATACTTTCCCTGCCAACACCGTGATTTTCTTCAATAGAAATCTGTAAGAAATAAAACACCTAAATCTTAGGTTAAAGTCCTCTTTTGTTAAATTACACTTGAGCCGTTATTGACATTTAGTTCAAACATATTCTTTAAATGATTTTGTTAATTTATGGCTTTCAAAAACCGTACATTCGTGTAACGTGGTACAAACAAACAACAAAACGAGTAGCTTCTCATCGTCCAGGTAACTTTGGATACAAGATGTAACCTGTACCACTGATATGATTGATTTACAAGTCACATGATTAAATTAGACACACTTAAGGCAGAAGAGTTTTCCATAACTTAAAAACGTTAGTGTAAGTAGCTAACTGAAACTCCAGCACAACCGCTGTCCATCTGCTGTGTCGACCACACAGCTGCCATGCCAGTGAGCAGCAGCTAATTCCCGGGCTGCTCAAGTAAAGCCCGGGGAGTAAACTGGATCCTTCATATCTTGAGCTGACTCATGAGGTTAGAAAGGGACGTGACGCTCTCCCTGATTTTGGCGTCGTCTTCCTGCGCCAGTGACACACCAGCCAGGCGGGTGGAACCGTTGGCTCCCATAATGCACGGCAGGCTGAGGAACACCTCTGCTCCGATGCCACCCCAGCCCTGAAGGAAGCAACACGGATGAATGCAACTTTTTAAAGAATCAAATATCAGTAAAAAAAAAAACAACTGTGGTCGAAACAGCTACAGGTTCACTTCCTGACTTCACAAGTCGTGGAATAAATGAAGTGAAACCTCAAACACAATGTGTGATAACGGTGACGGTGAGAGTAAATCTGTTGTTTTGACAATTGGCGTTGCTACCTGAGCCAGTGTGGAGACGGAGTGCGGCTTCATCTTATCTGTCAGGACACTGTTTGTGATGTCAGCAATGGAGAGACCCACAGACCACGACCGCTGGCCTCGATTCTTCATGATGTCGAACGCTCTGCGGGCACAAAAAAAAAGTCTCAAATAGTTCCCATCTGGTAATTGATCGAACCCCTAAAAACTGAGCTCTGTCCATCAAATGATGAGGATTTATTCATGAAAAAGTAATCCCTTCACTCCCTAAAATGGTTTAGATGTAATTCCACAGCAGATTTATGAAGCCCCTGCCTTTCTCTACACCCACCCCTCTGCCCCTTGAGCACACCAGCTCACCCACGACTCTGCTCAAGCTGCAACTGTAAAACCACAACACATTGGCAAGGTGTGATACCTGAATAATAAACGAAGCTGATTCTGAAGAACAGTATAATACACAAACTAAATACCAATCAGCGGAGGTTATACTACATTGTGGCAGTACCTGTCTAGCAGCGGTTTGGTCGAGCTGGATCCTGGGGCGATCTCCGGCTTCACACTGGAGCTGAGCCCAGTGTTGCTCATCACAGCGACTGCAAGACAAAAACACTGACAAGCTTAATTGTGCGGCTCATGCACTTGAGTCTTGAGAATGGAAAAAGCAAACCAGATGAGCAGGTAGTGCAGCATTACTGGTTACACTAATACAATCAAACCAAAAGGAATGAAGGCAATGCCGCATTTGTGTCGTGAATACAAGTGCGGTCGGTGTAATTGTCTGTCAGTAATCCGCTGTGACAATTACTGCAGCACAACACCTTCATGTAAATATTTAATTGCTTCTTTCGGGCTCACTTTTGTTGTCTGAAAGTTCTCCTATGACCCAGGCTGGTTTGTGAGTGTTCAGGTTAATGTCCAGGACATGACTGAGTCGCTCCGAGTCCAGGTTACAGCCTGCTCCGATCACCCGTGTTGGAGGCAGGCCGCTCTGCCTCCAGGCAACGTGGGACATGATGTCCACTGGATTGGTACAAGAAAAGACATGGAGCTGATGATATAACAGAGTAAAAGGCAGAACAGTCAATAGAGGGAGTGTGTGTTGCCGTCACTGACCTGGTTGTGATGCAATGATCATCACAGCATTGGGGCTGAGACGTGCCAGATTTGGGATTATCCCTCTGTACAAGTCGACGTTAGTCTGAACCACGCTTACATATGACTGCTCGCTGCTCCATGCATTCGCCGTCACTACCACGACCCTGGAGCCTGCAGATGCCGACAAATCTGACACGGGAGAGACAACGTGTCACCAGTAATTAACTCCTGCACAAATCTCACAGCAAAACTTGTAGAGACATAACTAAGGCTTAAACCATTGATGTATTTGGCCCTGATTACTGTTAAAACTCTCAGTCAATGAAAGTGGTTTCTCTGCTGTCATACAGGTGAGTCATCACGTACAATCTTTCCCACCACAATGCCACCACCTTTAAAAACTATGACATCAGTGATGAGTCAGCCAAGAGGCCCCTCTGCGTTGCTAAGTGACAGAGCAGAAAGTGACGTACCTCTGGATACCTCCACCTTTGGCAGACTGAAAATCTCGAGGTCTGTGCTGCCGCCCTTTGTGGAACTCTCAGCAACATCAATGAAAACAAGTTTTTCCACTTTACACTAGATGACAAGACGGAAAAAAATTGGACTGTCAGCAATAAAATGTGATGTGTTGACATTTTCACTGAAGCACAACTCCTGACATGTAATGCATAAAGATGATCACCTTGGATAAAATGCTCATCACGGACGCCATTCCTAGATCTCCTCCCCCAATAACTGAGACTTTGTTGATCGGTTGGTCGTGATGTCTGATTCCACCTGAAAGGGACACGAGTTAAGCTAACACTATCCAGTGTTTATTTCATTTGTGATCATCAATAATAAAGCTACATATCAAATGACGCACCATCACTGATGTGGAAATTAGACACAAACGCCAGGAGTTCATGGGGGTCTTTGTTCTCTCCTGCGGTCTTGGATGACAGCGGAGGATCCTCCTCGAACTTGGCGATCATCTCATTCAGAAGACCCACCACAGACGACTTGGGCTGTTACCGACCAAAAGAAACAGCAGCAGAACCGGTAAGAACACCACAGTGCCTCATCTGTGCAAAGTTAAATTTCACCCAGAAGGTATAAACCCTTACATAATCCCAGTTGTGCAGACCCGGAAGGTAGACCCGCCCTCGGGCGTCAACATGCTTGCCCTCTCTGATGACCATGTTGGGAGTGGGTTTAAGGAGGCATATGGGAGGAGTGAAGGGGAATGAGTCCATGAGCCACAGCTGAACGGGGAAGTTGTAGGAGCGACCTTAGGACAGAGACGATGCCATCAGCACTTAATAATGAAATCGTAGTGACACATTCAAGGCATTCGGTTATAAAAACATTTAAAGTGAGCCTTACCTTCATATTTGACGGGAACATTACCGGTTAATTTCAGGAGGTCTTTTTGAGTGCTGTCACTGAATGCTGCAATTCACAATGGATGACATCAGTATATATAAGAGAAATATGAAAGGCTGCAAGAGATATATGAAATACAGAAACTCACTGTATGTGCCTGTGGATGGTCTCATCCCGGGGTAGATACGGTGGATCTTCTGCAGCTCCTCAATAGCCACATCGTGAAATTTGTACTAATAACAGGCGGGAAAATTAATTAAATTGAAAACATTAAAACATACACTGCATGTGTGTCTGCATACATGTAGCTATACATGATCAACTCCATCTATTGTGTGGACTGCATATTAATGAGGGATGGACCGATAATTGGTTTGGCTGATTACTTGATCCAGCATTCAGCATTTTTTGTAATTATTGTTGTCATCTTTTATTTTTTATTGTTTTTGTACTGATTTCTGAAAAAAATATTTGCCAGGCCGGCATTGTAAATAAGAATCTTGTTCTTAATGTCTTTGCCTGGTTAAATAAAGGTTAAATAAATAAAATAAAGTAATTTGAAAATGTGCTGTTTTAGCTGTGACGCAGCCTCCTCTCTTTACCTGCAGTCCTGCCCACGACACAATCTGATTGGTTAATTGACTCTTGTCGAGGTGAGTAACAGTCAATCAACACTGAAGGATGAGTGTTGAAAAGTTCTCTTTTAATGTAACACGTGTCAAACATAAACAAATGCATTTCTTAACTTTGACATCAGGATTTTCATTTTAACCGCAAACGTGTATTGATTGTAAATATCAGTTATCAATCCTCTTGCTCACTAACAACCAGTAATGATATCAGGCTTTAAAAAAAAAGATATGGACACCCCTATAATCAAAAAAAAAAAAGTGCCCGTGAAGCAAAATTGCCGCCGAAACCTCCCCCAAAAAAAAACCGACCCCGCAACTTCCTAAAACCCGAAACCGGGGGAACCCAAAACCCTGGTGAAAAAAGGGAGAAAAAAAAACGAACCCCGGAACCTTGACAGAAAACAAAAAACAAAAAACAAAACCAACCAAGTCCAAACAAAAATCAAATCACCGATACCAACCAGGACACACAACCAAAAGTAATACCAACCAAAAAGAAAACAGCCGTACAGACAGACCTCAAGAAAAAAGACCAGCGGCCACCACACACAGTCAAAATAAAGAAGAAAGATGGAAGCAAGCCCACCAAGCAACACACAGAATCCATCCACACAACGAAGGAAAACAAAAACCAAAACAAAAAGAAAAAGAAAGACATACACACGCAGGCAACCAACCGACCCAGCCAAGCCAAAAGAAAGCCAGACACATAACGCTGGAGTTAGAAGGAAAAAAAAAGACAAAATCAATTTTCAAGCTGCTGCTTGTACCTTTAAATTGTCTCTTCTGGATAACAATTCATTCACGGCAACTGATGTAGTTCTTATGTGTTCTCAAGTGTTCAACAGATCATTTAGGATTTTATTTAACAGCCCTAATACCCTGATATTCTGTGATGCCTCTTTGCTTTGTTTACCCCCTTTGTTGAACAGTCATGCTGCTGTAACACCTGAATTACCCTCTGGGGTTAATAAAGTCAGTCTAAGAATGCTGCTTCAGTCAAACCTCGACCTGTGCACTTGCTCAGAGGCACTTTGGCAGCATCAAGGAGGATAAGATGACAGACTACGCATTAGTTTATATCTGACATCTTTTGTATAAGGAGGTGAGTAGCTTTAGCATTAACTCAATTCAACAACAGCCATTGTAATGGCTCCGTCTATCACCCGCTTTAATAAACCAACGTGTGCGGTGTTTTTTTTTATTATTTCCGTGTCTTACAGGTTTCTCTGTGACACATAAAGTGACAGAGCTGGTTCGGCCAGTTAATGAAGGTTGGCAGCGGCTAACACCACTTAGCTTCTTCTACCAGCCGGCATCAATAAAAGTTTTCGCTGTTGGTTTAAATCTTTTAATTTGGTAAATAACTGACCTTGGAGAGGATCCGCTCTATTTTCTCTGACTTGAGGTCCATCTATTGAAGTAAAAAAAAAAAAAAAAACACGTTTTTTCTGATTAGAACCCTCTTTGGTAGTTGGCGTCAACTTCAGCTGTAGAAACAAACTTCCGCAAACTTTCAGGGGTAGCTAAGCGAAGCGACCAATCCAGACCGCGCCCACTTGTTACCTCAGGTACGGCAAGCCGCGAGGGAAGAAAAGGTCCGAATAACAGCTTCGCTTAATACCTGATGCAAATACCTGATGTTCCTAATACCCGCAAGTTAGGTCGCTAATTTCAAGAAAAAAATAACTTCAAAAGCGCTATGAGATGACTTGTTGTTGTAAATATGCGCTATACAAATAAAACTGAATTGAATTGAATTGAAAATTTAACAATATTTCACGCAATTTGTGGCCAAAAAAAAAACTTCACTGCTTTCAATGACAAACAAAAACCATACCACTTGCTATAAGTTGGTGAACCCCCCACTTCTGTATATATTACTAAGATTGCCCCACTCTGAGAAACACTCACATAAAACTAGACGATTAAATTAAAAACCCTTTATGTAGTCATTTCTGTCAAATGCTTTCAAAGATAAACATACAACATACCAAATGTTTCCTGCATAATTGACTGACTTTACAATCAAAGTTTGTTTGGAAAAATATGCAACAACTTTGCTCAAAAATAGTGTGTTATTAACACTTGACATAATGTGTTAAGGTTAGCCTAGAAGAAAGAAAAAAAACAAATCACACTCTTCTCATATTTATAGTTTTCATTGCAGCTCAACTTGTCTTACAGATCAGGACTACTGTAAACCCTGCACTAGGTTGGGGAAATAAATAAAATAACAGGGAAAATGTGAGAACTTTTCACTACGTTCTGACGCCTGAATGATTTGTGCATATTTTGCTATTTCCCGTTTGTCTTTCCATAAAATTCTCTTTTCCTCTTGAGACAACGTCATACATCATTCCACTCGGATTTGATCCAAACACAGGGAGAGAAGGTGCGAGACAGTTACAGGGGGCCAGAGTGGTAACAGTCACTGGGCTTCAGGTGCTCAGATAGCAGACCCGCTGTCCCGTCGCTCAGGGTACACAAGGATTTAATTCAACTCAGTGGCAACAAAGCTTCAGTTGGTTTTTTTCCTCTTGGTATTTTTCCTTTTCAGCTCCTCTTCCTCTTTTCTCTCCTCCTCCAGATCCTCCTGCACAGCTAGTCTCAGGCTAAAGCACAGAAAAACAGAAAAAAATATATATAAAAGGCAAACACTGCAACTCTCGGGACAAACAGTATAAAAGTAGAGCGAAGGATTTGAAGGTTGTTTTTGCTATCTTAGTACCTCCTGGCCTCTTCTTTCTGCATATCTCTCCAGCTGCTCTCCATGAATTTAAGTGCATAGTCGCTCTCGTCTCTGTACCTGAGGGGGTTAAAAGAAAATAGATTTTTATATATAATTGGATTTACAATTTCGTGAATTGACTTGACAACACATACAGGGGGACAGCACGTACTTGTTTCGATCATATCCAAAGATTTCCCTGATGTGCCTGGAAATCTCGTCTTGCTGTTCCCCTCCATCGTCAATGAAATCTTCCATTTCTGAGTCGTACTCTTCTTCATCCTCGTATTTCCGCTTGTACGCCGACGTGATAGGTGGTAACATTGGTCCTGGATAGTAAAACAAAAACAGATTTTCAGCATGCAGGGTAGTGGTGTATATAGAGAGGACATCTGTAATGCAGAGTATTGCTTAAGGGTTAAGTGATGTTAAAATTAGAAAACTAGGAATTTGTTGTTTTTGAATCTGAGTTTACTAATGTCAGTTTCACACTCGACTGTTTTGTTTATCACTGTTAGAAACGTTGCTGCTCTCTGACCCAGTAATGATGACAAAGGCTGATGAGTGCTGCTGACACTTCATTCGGATGGCAAACAAACCCGTTGCCCCGTACTGGTCGTTTCATGCAGTCAAATGTCAGCAAATGTAATATAATATAATACAACACAATACAATACAACATAATGTAATATAATACGTTCTGCTAACAGGTTATGACTTCAAGTCTTTTTTGCTGTGTATACATAACGATATTATAGACTACTGACAATGATGAGACGATTTCAGAGGCTGAATAAAACGTGATTTCAGTTCTCGTGAAAACCAGCTGACACCAGCAACATGCCTGAGCAGGACACCATGAGTCAGGATCATGAACCAAACAGAAAACGGCTTCATTTTCAAAACGCCTCATTTCAAGCAGCAGCTCTAAGTCCTCTCACTGCTTAGACTCACTCGATGGAGCACATTCACCTACATTTTTGTCTTTATTTCACTTGTGTCTTTTGTGCCTTCTGTTATTTTTTCCCTGTGCGTTGCTCGACCATGACTTCAGATTACAATGTTAATAAAGTTGTTTTAATTTTGTATTAGTTTCAGCTGTATCAGTTAATGTCTTAACGCTCTATGTAACTTCATCAGCTCAACCTTGGGCATCTTGTGAAACTCTACTGAAACATGCTGTATGAGTGAAGGTCAGCATGGACTGAAATTTCCACATAAATTCCATAATTACCAAATCTGGTTCTCTGATAGTATCATTCCATTATCCTCTCTCTGGCTCTTACCTGGTGGTCTGTTCATCAGAGGTCTAGGGGGCATTCCTGGTCTGGGGGGCATTCCTGGTCTCTGTGGCATTCCTGGTCTGGGTGGCATCCCTGGTCTCTGTGGCATGCCTGGTCTGGGTGGCATTCCTGGTCTGGGTGGCATTCCTGGTCTCTGTGGCATGCCTGGCCGAGGAGGGACTCCCTGCCTCGGTCCACCAACATTCTTGGATGAGATGGTCTCTGACACCACAGTGCACTTGGGTCTTCCAGGTCCTGATCCAACGCTGCCAGACGGTCGCCCTGGTACCAGCCCCCCACCACCAGGCCGGCCAGGTCCGATCCCTGGAGGTCGGGATCCACTACCTCCGGGGTGACCCTGTAGGCCGCTCCCACCGGGCCTAGCCTGTGGCACACTACCAGCTTTTGTCTGGAATGTGCCTCCAGGCCTTGCCTGAGGTTGGCCTCCTGCCTTAGGAGGGCCGCCTGAGGAGGGTCTCGTCACTGAATTGCCACTTGATTTTGTGGAAGAATTAGTTCCGTGCCTTGGTGGTTCTCCCTTTCCAGACTTATGGCCTCCAACTGCAGGCCCCTGCTTTAAGGAGCTACCCTGACTGGGCCTGGTCTGCTGGGAGCTCCCATGTTGAAACTTTTGACCTGTGCCAGCTGTGCCAGAAGGCCTGGTCCCAGGAATACCTGAAGCTTTTCTTTGAAGTAATGACGAGCTTTCTTTTTTTGAGCTAAGGTCACTTGAGGTGCTGGATTTGTGGCTAGGGGAGGGCCTGGGGGGCCCTTGTTTGGCTGAAACCTGAGATGATGTGGCTTTTGAAGGAACTTTACTGTTTGTAGCACCCGATGAACTAGACAAGCTTGTCTTGGATCTGTCTCTGTCACCGTGAGACGTCTTCGTTCTGTCTCTTTCTCTCTCAGTAACAGATGGCTTGGAAGAAGTGAGGCCTCTATCGCTAGTCAGGGATGGATGCGACTTCTTCCCTGACCCACTGGGCAAACTTGGCTTTTCAAAGGAGTTCTTTTGTGGTCTGGAGTTCTTCTGTTCCTTTTCTAAAGTGCTTTTTCTTGCTGAGCTAGAGCTAGACTGAGACTTGCCATCTCTTTCGCGCTCTGTCTTGGAGTCTCTATCTTTGTCATGCTTCTTGGCCTTTCGCTCCATCTCCAGTTCCTTTATCTCGTCAGCTGTGCGAAGTCTTTCTTCATTTTTCGCCACCTTTGGTTTTAGGTCAACTGGCTCAAACTGCTTCTTCTCTGCCAATTTGAGCAGGTCAGCGAAGTTCATGGGCGGTGGAGCCGGTTTGGGTGGCCCGCTGGGTTTTTTAGAGGAGGGCCTGCTGCTGCTGCTACTGCTCCCACCAACACCTGTGGTTCTCCCTGGTCTCAGCGGCTCTGGCTCCTGCTCTGGCTCCGAATCTGTCTGTTCATACTCATAATTATCCTCATCATCTTCTGGGTCCATTGAGTTATTCCTAAATCTTTCCTCCTCATTCATTGAACGATCTTGCAGCATTTCTTGTTTGGATCTTCGCTTCTTAGGAACCTCTACTATAGGGATGCCATTGTAGCCTTTGAAATTGTCCTTAGTTCTGGATGCCATGGCTCGTGCTTTACGATCCGACTTCATCTCAACCCTCTTGGCTAACAGTTCGTCCTTCTGTTTCTTCATTTGCATTTCTAAAAAAATAAAAAATAGAATAATATGTACATAATAAACAAAGAACACTCTCTAATAAGTATGACAATCAGATTCTGTTCATCGACATTAACTTAGTTGTGGCACTGATACCTTTCTTTCTGGAGTCAGTGTGCTGCTTCTTCAGCAGTGCCTGCACAGCAGCAGGGTTGACACCTTTCGACTTTGGGTCCTTTTTAGGGGGTCCAGCTTGTAAACTATATCTTTTCTGTTCAAAGAGAGACAAACAATACACTGAATGTACATGTTGAAATTGAAGCACAGTTTCTGCTACACTGTCGGTTCTTTAAATGTCTTAAGCATCGGGGAATAATATATTTCTCATCAGGCATATTCATTTAAAGATGACACTGATTTGTCTCCACAGCCTTAGCATGCTGGACGTTAGCAGCTAGCTACGTTGTCAGACCCTCACTGACAAGAGGATCTGCTTTTGTCTGCTTACACGGCTGTCCACAAATCCTCATTTTACCTATTGTCCACAGTCATGTCAGTGTTTAACTCACCTGGACATTGCTGAGGCCCTGGTTTTGTGAAGCGATGTTCAATATATTGTCAAAGTCCATCGTGTAGCAGGTGATGCAAGCTGACTGTCTGAGGCGATTCGAGCTAAACTCAAGCCGGAGTGATGAGATTACCGTTTAGCTTTCCAGCGTTAGCCAACAGCGGTTAGCTAAACAGCTGTAAAAATCTACTGATCACACACAGTCTACGTAAGGAAAGTTTTTGAACGGAACAGCTGACGCTACTTTACTTCGCCACCTTACGATAGCATGCGCTAGCAAAGTTAGCTAGCCCTACTGACGTGAACGTCAGCTAACCGAGAAGCCTGAGAGACGAACTTCCCCTTTGTACGGTGAACACACGAAACCGAGACCTGAGCCATCCAAACATGTGTATAATTAACTTCTACTTAAAGAAATATATCAAAAAATATCATCCATGACGACGCCGGGTGTTGGCAGAGACTAGCAGCGATAAAGAACGAAAAATTAAATGTCCAAAGAGTAAACTACAAAAGCGAGAGGGAGGACCTCTGCGCACTTCCGTCTTCGTAAGCGAAAGCCGGCTAACACGTCAAGACATGTTGTCAGGTTTATTCTTGCAAGATGCTTCGTTTGGATTTGGATGAATCTGGTAAACTGAGAGAGTACAATGAGGTGTGTTTTTGTATTTTTTTTTTCTTTTCTTTGCTTGCTGTTTGCATGTGTGTAATGACACTATTGTGACTCTCCACTTGTCCTCACCTGAATTCACGGCTGCAGAGGAGGGGATCTATCTTGACCGTAGGTGTAAGCTGTTAATACAGATTGTACATCAGTGATTTGACTGATAGAGGAGTGTGGGGAGGATGGAGCTTGGCAGGAAGGAGTTTTACTGTTAAAAAAATAGATCATTTTATCTGCTTTGGGATAGCTTTTTAGCATGTTTAAGTTCTTACAATTAATTATATAGTACATAAGGGGTTTCGCACTGAACCCATTCAGGTGATAAAACACACTCAAGTTCTGTGTTATTAGCGCTTTCCGCGGCTCCTCCTGCTTTCCTTACGCAATGTCCGTCCAAAGGGGTTCTGACAGCTGGAGACCACATGATGTCGCTGCTATTGTGGAAATCTAGAATACTCTAGAATCGTTACCAGAGCTGTTTTACATGTGTGACTGGTGTCATTTCTTCCTCATAAAATAAGCAGCTTGCAGGAGAGCAGCATCCAAACTGTTGGTGAGAGTTGTTACTGTGGATATTTTACAGTTTTGCAGCAGGACAGAATTACAAGCCAAAAATCATAAACTGAAAACTATATAAAAAGTGGCAAATCTCATGAGCTAAATGTGGGCCTACTACACTCATTGTGCATCATGTCTCTCTTGAGTTGAAGTGATAGAATGAACATACTTTTTTCATGTTATATGCTATCATCAAATATTTCTTTGTAAATACATGAAGTTCACTGGCAGGAAAGATGTATACCTTGGATACATAGTGTACTAGAGGAAGGGAAATTAAATACTCCAGTAAATTAACATCAAAATTTGGACAGTATATGAGCAAAATTTCACCTCTGTTGTGGAATTGCACAGACAGAAAGTGATGGCCTGCTACTCGGTTAGAAAAACATCCATCCTCTTTTTACTGACACTGTTTAGAGGAGCGTCATAAAATTTAATAGCATATCTTTTATTTGGAGAGTTGAGATGCCGGATCCCAAAATATTTGGTGATCCCTGATCCAAGTTAAACAGAATACCACTGATAGTCCAAACTGAGGAGCATTCTTATGGTATGAATGTGTGATACATTTATCCAGGGACTGGGGATGTCTTAATATGGAGGCAAGCAGAGAGAAGACATTCACACATTCTCAGGTGAATAATTTGCACATTCTTGCACAATCTGTACAGCTGTCTCGTTTTAATAGGATTGTAAATATTTTAATAACTTAATACTTTGTAGGGAAAAAAGAAACGATTTACAAAACGTGCTTTTATTAATATGTAACAAGTACTTCTTAGTTGTCTTGTAATACTTAATGTTGATGTGAATGGAAACACTTGCTTTTGAGAAATGTTTTATTTAATTTTCTGCTTTCAGTGCTTACAGTTATGCACCAAAACAACAAGTCAAATGCATCAAATATGAAAACTGACTTTGCAATAAAACAAATTCTGATTCTCCTATAAAATATAATCAAAATCTCCAAAGGATGCGAAATCAAGAAGAAGATCCTAAATCTGTGTTAATGGCTAAAATAAATGAACATTTTTCTCATATAGATGTTTGTCAGGTTCTTTGCTTGATTCTAGCGTCTGATCTGACCTATTTACGCTGGATTTTTGTCTCACAATCACATATAAGCTCGACACATCATACCAATGAGCCCCGTTCCTATATAATGTAAATACAGGCCATCTGCTCCGATATGTAAACAGCACAGTGACTCCTCCTATCGGGGCGTCTCGGCCCGCCCCCTTTAAGAACTTTCTCTGCTCCTATTGGTTAATAATAAACGTCCCGCCCCCTTCACACCACTCTCTATTCCTATTGGTTATCAGCGGAGGCTACGGCCCGTCTGTCTCCTCCTCCCGGACGTCGGACCGCCCACCGGATCGAGGACAAAAACAATCGGCATCTCTCTTACAGTGCAACATAAACAAGAGGACAGAAACCAATTTAGACACTGTTCACCTTTCTTTTTTTTTTACCGACACGGACAGCACCAAGGGAGACATGGTTTCTCCGGTAACAGTGGTGAGTATCAGCGTCAAACCAGCACAACAAACAAACATCAATAACAGCGGCTAGTTTAGCTAGTTACATGATAGCGACACTTCGGAAGATAACATCCTCACTATGCTTCTATAAACGTTCATCAATGGCTGCCTCGAGGTGCGAATTCAGCGTCTGTCGGTGTGTTTTCTGTGTTGTTCATCGCTTTTCATACTTTGTCTCGGAAGGCCAGCGCATGGCTCTCGGCAATCATTTAATTGCCAGTAAATACGAGTGTCTGCCCGCTGAATTATAATGGCTCAGCCCCTTTAACACGCGCCTTGTTTTCTCGTTATTTTCTCGCGTGTGGAGACACAATGCAGGAAGTTTTTGTCTTTTGAACCTGGCAGCGAGTGCTCACTTTATTCCTTCTCGATATTACATGAGGACGTTTCCACAAATTTCTAAAGGCAGCCCCTGACAAAAAAAAAAAAAAGAAAACCTGTCATGTGACGACCTTTTTTGTCTTTTTTTCCCCCTTTCCTGTACCCTCCAGTAACGCATGCGCGGGGCAACTGTGGCTTGCTTTCTTTTCATCTCCTTTTGCTGTGCTTTATATAGACTCAATTGTTTAGCCTATCCATTGGCTTCATAATCGACCTAACCAGGAAACTGTCCATTTTGACAAAAAAAAAGAAAGAAAAAAGAAGATGATAGCTGCGTGAATAATTTAACCAGCCCCAGCATCCTCTTACTTTGACAGAGCTGCTATGAAATTTTACCCCATCTGCAGGGGCCATGAAGCATCGGTGTGGTGTAACTTGGCCTGTAGTAAACCCTGATGTGTAGTCTGTGAGAGGAGCCTGTGTGGAGGAATGCTTGCCATACAGACGAGTTGCCGTAGTGATGAGGATGCTGGGCAGGTTCCTGGGTTGGCTTGACTTCTGTTGAACCGGGCCACAAGTGAAGAGGAATGTAGGGGCATGTGTTAAGATGATGATAAAATAGTTTTAGGCAGCGTTGTTTCGATTTCACGGAACAAAACGAGCAAGCAGTGACGTCGACTTTGTGATGATTGCCAGACATCACAAACAGAAGTCTCCATTTTGTATTTAAATTAATTTCTTATTTGCCAATCTGTCGAGTTGATTTCTAAAAAGCGTACATCACGAAAAGTAACAATCATCCCGTCGACGGCTGTTGTAACTCAGTCGTTACATCTACATAAGATGCAGCTAAATATTTGGCCTTCTTTCTATTTCTGACTCTAAACTAGGTTTTGATAAACACCGCCACTCTGAGTGCCATCTGGCGAACAGATTGTTGTGCTCTCGAGGGAATTTGTCAACTTTTGTCCTTTTTACAGATGAAGTAGAATCAACCGCTCGGAGCGCAGACACTCTCAGACGAGCGCAGACTTGTCTTTCACAAGCGATGACTTGTGAGCAGGTACCTGCTGTAGCCCAGACATAGAGCTTTACTTTGGCCTTATTGATAACATTGTAGAGGCAGATCACGACTAAGTGTTGGTCCTGAACTATTCAAAAATCATGTGTTTTTATACAGATGATGCTCCTGATGTCAGGTATAGTATTCCTCTATATACTGTGCTGCTTGTCCGCAAACGACCCCAAGTTATCCTTGGAGTAAAAGCAGCTGTACGATGGAAGGAAAGCAGTGTTGTGTGATACTACGTAGAAATAGCATTGTCATATGACGCACATGTCAGCTGCCAGGACCATGCTTATGTTACAGCTTCCCTCTGCCCGGTCGAGTACACAAGAGTTTGCAGGTCTTTAAATATTTCCGTGTATCATGTTTCTGACACTCTGAGTGGTGATCTGTGGTCCCAAAGCTGAGTCCTGGTTCAGATAAGTCACTGATACTGACAAAGATATGCGGATTAGTGAGCATCGTTCATTCTGTATTTTTCCTGAACTGATTCTGCTGATTTGATTTTCAGTTTTAAACAGCTTAAGAAGCAAATCTGTGCTTCAAAATAACAAAAAAAATAAACAAAAGTAAGAGTATTTAGTTTGTTATTTAGCTGGTTTTGGACCCATTGGAAAGGTGATCCATTCCGTCTTGTTGTTTGCTCCAACAAAATAATGTATCACTTGTTAGTAACCCTTTAAATGCGGTCAATCATTAACTGTATTATTATCTAACAAGGGACAGAAGTGGATGTTTACGGCCAGCCAGCTGTTCAAAGCACGCTGCTTTAGCAAACAGTCTTTATTTATAATGCGATCATTCAGACAGATAAATGAAAGCATTTAGCTCATTTCGTTTGCCTCTCTAATGAAGCAGTGCGTACTCGTTCGTTTTTCTTTTTTTTTACCCCCTTCTGTTTAATGATTGCCACACAGGACTGCCCAGCATCACTAACGTCCCTCTGCCTTTAGTGTCCCCGCAGACAAACCGATTCCTCGGTGAGTTGAGTAAAATAACGGCGTATAACCGCGGCAATCTCAGTCAAACCGAACAGGGGGGAACGTGGCTGACCCTAAGAGAAATAAAAACCCATTACAACCACTGTGGAGCAGTTTGTGAATTCCAGCAAGCAATTACACCTTCTTGATGGAACAACTTGCTGCAATTACTTTTTAGGTTAATGGGACAGGGAAATCTTTCACCAGTAATGGGAGATGATCAGGCAAAAGCAATAATATTCTAACGCCAAGCGCCGTCGTAATTTAGATTCATCCGACAGAGCAAAATTCCTTTCATAGAACATTAAGCTAAACTGTGTTTAATTGATATACTTCTTGGAAAGATTTTAAATCAAATTGTTTTACATGTAATCTGTGCTGTTAAGCTCTTGTCTTTGTTCTACTTTGAGCCCGTTTCTTGTTGTGTTGATGCCATAAGAATACTTGAAAAACAACGGAGAGTAAAAAGAAAAATATGTCCCAGATGCATCTTCATATACGTCTCCTTTTTCCACAGATAACAATCAAACAATCTTATAGCTCAGGCCCGCAGCTCTCAGGCAACGTATTTTCTCTGCACTTTGATAAATAATAGATTTGCCCTATCTGTGATGTGATGATACGCGGAGCCCTCTTTGAATACCGACGGTGCAATATGTGGTGTTTTCTTGTGTCCTGTGCTGAAGTCACCCCCGCCGGCTTGATAAACAGGGTTTTAATATTGGCTGGTCTGGGAGTGCTGCCAGGGTTGTCTCCTCTGCTTGCCACCCATTTGGCCTTAATGGGACAGATAGACTCACCGTACACAACCATGGCAAAGTGCGTAATGGTGAAAAGAGGAGTGCATTAGTTCCCATTAAGCACCTAACTTTAGCTTCGCCTGAGTCCAAAATTCCTCTCATGCTACTTGCATCTGGAAGAGGGCGATAATATCTTAAATGGATATGTAAGCAGAGCGCTGGAGGCTCTTTTGTCCTTAAAAGTCGTCGCGATGCCAACAGTCACCAGCTTATTTTGATGCTTATCTCAACCTTGTCGGGGCAGACGGTTTCAAACCGGTTATGAAGAGCCTAAACTTGAAAAAGAAACGGACTGAAACGACCTGAGTTTGTATAAGATTAGTGAGAAAATGGAATATACACGTACGTATAGAGTCTGTCAGAAAGAAATGATGGTTGTAACTTGTGTTATGTAACACAACTTATATAAAAGATCTACTTAGAAATGCTTTGCAATGCAGGAATATGAAGTAGCATCAGGAATTAAAGTTAATGCTGTGATGAAGACAATGAAAAGTAAGTATGTGCGGAATGAAACCAGTAATACCAGGTAGGTAGAACGCAGATGACATGTATAGACAGGAGAACATTGCCAGTTAAAAAAAACAATAGCTCAACTGAAGCTTATGTTTTAAGCTTTTCAAACGTCCACGAATTCTTCATTGAAACTTCTTCTTCTTTTTTTTTTGGTGATCAAATTTTTGTTCGTTTTCCTTTTTGCAAGACAAATCATCCAAATGTTAACATAATGAAAAGTATAGAGACAAATATAAATAAAATACAGAACATAACAAATATAAAAATAACATTAGAACCCTCACCCGCAACCAAGAAAGTATATATGCACTCATATACACACACACACACACAAACACACACATATACATATACATATACATACATACACATGTGTACATCATAAAAAACAAATTGAAACTTCATTTGGGAATGTTTTTTATAGAAAATGAAATGTCCACCTTTTGGTTCAGAACATCCACCAAACCCACACTGGAAGATCTTCTGAGTGTCTGCGAAGGCGAACAAAACAACAGGGTGTCCGAAGTCATTTGGCGTTCCAGATACTCTACAATCAGATCTTAATGATACAGGGAACCCGTGTAGCTCAGCTAAACCTGAAATGATGTGTTTTTCACTGTTGGTCTGGAGTCTCTGCAGATGAATGTTAAATACGTTGTGGCTTCTCTGTCGACCTCTTTAGAAAAAAAAAAAAACAGTCAAAGAGCGTTACTGTTGTCTGGCGTGCTCGAGGCAAACAAGTGAATTAACTTCTCAGCATCCTGCCGGCTTACTGACGGACAAGTAGTTCTCTTTCATTTCTAATTTTGCCTGAACATGTTTTTGACCAACTCGTCTGCCAGATCCCTTTTGTTTTCCTGCAGGTTGTCGTATCAGGTGCACCGGGCCAGGCTTCAGGTCACTCAAACATTGTACTTGATCCTGTACTGTAATTTGGTCCGCTATTTTATTGAGCAGTTGTGCAATCAAGGGCCTCCTTTTTTTCATCCCTCTGCAGGAAGAATAACCTCCCATGATCCCTCGTTCACCTGAATGTTGATCCAGCTTAGTCAGAGTCTCCCTCTAGCTTTCTTTTTTTCTGCTCTTCTTTATTGCAGTCAGAATAACACTTTCTCTACAACATCATTTTTGTGGAAACGATTGCAAACTAGTCATGTGGGCCATCAAATCTCTTGCCCACTCTTCTTAAACCTTTCCCTGCTGCACTACGGCCTCTTCTTCCTCCTCCCTGCCTTCCTGATCTCTCCTCCAATGATCTGAGCTCCAGTGAACCCTCGCTCGGTTCCTCTCCCTCCCAACTCAACCAATTTTCTGTCTTTTAATCCCCCGGGCCTTCTGCCTCAAGAGTGGTTCTCAGAATTATTGGTGGGCTGTAATTCCAGAGGTGTTGTGAAATCTTGTTCTACCTTTCTCTTTTTTGTTTTTGTGACTCTGTTGGGCCCCAACTGTTTAGACAGAAAGAAATATGACTGGAAACACAGTTGGAAAGAAGAACTTGAGCCTTGAGTACGCTGCACAGTTCACACAGACTTTAGACATGAAGAGGAAGGTGAAGCAGATGAGGAGCTAACTAAAACAAGATGGCAAGTGAGGAAAGAAAGAAGACATTAAAAGGTTACTTGGAGTCAAAGTAGCAGCGTGGACGCTTCCTGCATTTCCTCATACCTTAGTTTCAGCCACCAAACACATGCATGGCTGATGGTGATGAACTAATGACCACACAACGAGCAAAAAGAAGACTCACGTTTCCCCTTTCAGTAAAAAAAAAAAACCTCAAACACGCAACGGGCTCATTGTTTTGACCGACTGTGCTGCGTTTCCTGCATTTAGCCTCGAGATAAAAATCACTTTTAAAATCCTGATTTAACGCAGAGCGACAATCGTATCACTTTGTTCTGACCCACTGAGCAAAATCACCTAATGTAAGCGCAACTCAACCGTGACCCGGTTAATAATGTGAATATTAAATCTCTTTCCAGGTCAAGAGCGAAGGCCCTAAACTGGTGCCGTTCTTCAAAGCGACCTGCGTGTACTTTGTCCTGTGGCTGCCCACCTCGAGCCCGTCCTGGTTCAGCGCCCTCATCAAATGTCTGCCCATCTTCTGCCTGTGGGTGTTCCTGCTGGCCCACGGCTTCAGCTTCCTCGGCGCTCACTCCAGTGCCCGCAAGATCTTGGCTGGTCTCATCTTTTCTGCGCTGGGTGATGCCTTTCTGATCTGGCAGGAGCAGGGCTACTTCGTCCACGGTGAGGAGAAACTAACAATTATCTGTAGTTTGTAATTCTGAGCCTTTTTTTTTTTAGTGATTTTGGTCTTCATTGGTGTTGATAATAGTATGTTTGTATCAATGAAGGCAAGTTAAAAAGGTTCAGGTTTTAAATCAACCCCTGCAGGTTAGACAAACAGGGGAAAGGAAAGGCTCGTGAACAGTAGATTTACTATCCCAACTGTCATAAACATCCTTAATGGTTCACAGACTCAACTCTGCTGAACGTAGTGCAGTAAACATTCCCATAAAGTCACACACTATTTATAAGCATTTGAAAGATCCTAGTTTGGGTCTCGCCTCCAATAACAGTGGTAGTTAATCAGAACTTTTTAGCAAGTGTGTTTGATCTTAACTTCTCCTGTTTTTAGAGCCTGATCAGTGTTTGATTTTTGGGGCTGATACTGATTTTTAGAGAATAAAAAATGACAATATTGTTTATATTAAAAAGGTTATAGTGCAGTCGAGTTATACTGAAAAGGGAAAATTATGTTTATTCATGTATGTTGTCTTACATAAAAAGCAGCATGTACTGTTATGTCACAGGCATAAAAATATATCCGTCAAGCCCTAATCGATAGTGTACTACCTTGTGTTTAGATTTAAATCATACATGTATCGTCCCGCAGGCCTTCTGATGTTCGCCATCACCCACATCCTCTACTCCTCTGCCTTCGGGATGAAGCCCCTCAACATGCGAGCCGGCCTGGTGATCGCCGCCGTGTCCTCTCTGAGCTACATGCTGCTGTACCCCTACCTGTCCGGCCCCTTCACCTACCTGGTGGCCGTCTACATCGCCCTGATCGGCTTCATGGCTTGGAGGGCCGTCGCCGGCTTGCAGCTGGCCAACGACCTGTGGACCTGGACCAAGCTGTCGGCCTGCCTCGGCGCCGTGCTCTTCATGGTGTCCGACCTCACCATCGCCGTCAACAAGTTCTGCTTCCCCGTGCCCCACTCGCGGGCCATCATCATGGCCACCTACTACGCCGCCCAGATGCTCATAGCGCTGTCTGCCGTCGAGTGCCAGGACGTGGAGGTGGCCCGGAAGAGGACATGAGGCACGGCGGTCTCCAGAGCGCGCGAGGCTGGGATGGTGGCTCCCCCTCCGGCCCGGAGTGATCGTGGACACGTCTCACTGCCAGATCCCCAACCCGCAGCCTTCATCTCAGTGTGGCGCTCCCACACCGTCGTCACCACGGCGACGGGCCCCCCGCAGTTTTTACGCCGCTATCACCCACTAGCATGGTAGCGTCACGCGTGACGACCCTGACAACAGTCCTACCTGCCTCCTCCAAAACCTAGAACAGCTGTCTCCCGACCTAGTTACCATGGAGACGAGCGTAGAGATATTAACCTGCTACGTAGAGAGGATTAACTTAGTTTTACTGCTATGTTTTAATTTAACGGGAGCATGTCACTGGTCACCTTTTAAGGGGTGTGTATGGGAGAGCGATGTTGTGTGTGTGTGTGTGTGTGTGTGTTTATGTGTTTGACTCTTACCTCGCTTTCCACACAGTCCTGTCACACACACTGACTCCCAGCACACACACACACACACACACACACACACGTCTATTTTATGTGGTCCAATAATGCAATTTTACAATTTTATGTTTGTCATTTGTTGCCTCTTTTAAAAAGGGATTTTTTTTTTTTTTATTGCCACCAACTTGCCCACGTTTATTTTTTTTTTTTCCACTCTCTGCTGCTCAGTGTTCCCTCGAGTTCAGGGTGCTATTCTTAAAGTCAGGAGCATATCCACACCTGTCCCTTCCATTTCACTCACTCACTGCCTTTTTGTTCACTCACCATTTAACATCCCGCCCAGCCTCTCTGGCTTTTTTTTCTTTTTCGATTAGGATGTCCTTGAATAACACGATGTACAGATGAAGAACGGCAGACACAAAAGTATGCCGGTGACGCGGAAAGGCAGGGAGGGGAGAGATGACAAAAAACCATTGTGTGTTGTAGCTTTGGTGAGCCGACACACTTATGTTATGGCCAAGGGGGGAGGTAGAGGCTGTTTGTGGAAGCTTGGTCTTTCCTGTTGCGATCCTATTGACACTGCTGTCAGTGTCCCGCCGTCACAAAGAGAGCAGAGTCAACACTGCAGTCGCAGCAAACTATACTGTACACATAATAGCGTGCCGCTGTACGCTCCACCTGTTTCTCCTTTCGGCCTGCCAGGTATTTATTTTGCCTGCCAGCAGGTTTTTAAGAAACGTATGTGCCAGCGTCAACACACACACACACACCTGACACCTACGGCTCCTGCTGGTCGGAGTTATTAGGAAAAGTTCACGGGGATCTTATTGCTGGACGAGATCAGCCGACCCATGCTGTCGCCGGCCTGAGCCCGTGGTATGAAGACTGAAAAGAAAAGGGCTATGTTACCGGCTGGAATCTTTTTTTTTTTTTTTGTTATTTACTGACTCTGTGTGTGTCTATCTGGGCCTCAGAAGGCATTCACTCACTCACACGAACACAAACACGCACACAAACATCGCCCCGCTGCAGCCTGACCAAAAGAGAGAAAAAAAAAAGGAAGACAAGGGAACCGGCTTGTCATGTGAGGGAACAGTTATCCCATTATTCCTCATAATTCCTTCTCACAAAACACTTCATCAGCTTTAATCCCGCGAAATCCGCCGCGGCTAATCCCCGACAGGTTGGCTGATATTTTGTCTTTCATCTCTCGCGTATTTCCCCCCCTGCTCACCTTTCATTTCTTTATGTTGAAATGAAGTGTCTTACTGAATATTGAAGACTTCTACTGAAACCTTTTTCTTTCAGATGTGTTTCTGAGTGTGAGTGAGAGTGCTGCCTTCGTCTTAACTGTTGCGTGAACGTGTGCTTGTGACAAGTCAGAACCAACTCGAGGCCAGAAATGCTGTGAACCGTTTATATGGAGTAGACACACTACTGGATGTTTCATGTACTCTCACGAGGCTCTTAAACCCGTCTTCATCCCTCCCCCTTTTTGTTTTGCATGTATTGTTAATTAGGAAAAACCTTTAAGTTGGTGTTTGATCCCAAACTTTGGGAGATCTTCACTTTAACGGGGATCATTTCATGCCCAGTATATGTCGGTGGCATTACGGCTAATACCACTAAGAGTTTATTTTTAAGGAAGGATTATTACAAAAGTATCGTAGGAATTGAAAGTATTAATCACTATGAAAAATCAGCAAAGGGAGAGATATTGTTGTGTAATAGTTGAATCTAGAAACACCCAAATATCAGGTATGCTGTATCCTGTATCTGTTTATACAATAGAGACGCATGGAAAAGAAACAAACCCTTGTTATGGGTACCTCCTGCTGGGTCAGCGACCCCTAGAGCTGTCGGTAACGCACCCTTATACGCACAAGAAAGAAAAACACACACACATCAAAACGTGTTTATGCACCACACCGGCCACCATGACGGATCTGCAGGCGGACCGTGGTGTTGACACCAACAGCTCAGTTCATGCTTTGACCAAGAAAGACGCTCGGCCCAAGTGGCTGTTCTCGACTCCTGCTTTGCCGGATAGTTCCTCAATCTCCTTTCATCCTGTCAGCACAATCTTTCTGCTTTGTCAGTCAGAAGTGTTTCATCAGTCTGGCTGCTCGTCTTCTGCTCCGTGTTTTAATTTGTCCTCCCAGTATCGCGGCGGCGGCGTCGCCCTCCTCTCATCTTCTCATCCACCTCACCGGTGGCCAGCGATTAATATTAGTCTTTGCGCTGACAGGCTTTGCTCGCAGACATTTGTGTTTATTCTGTCTTAAATCAGGGGTTAGCAGAGATGCTAGTTAGCACAGCTGACTCTAGCACGCAGCCTCGAGTACAACTATGAGGGGAAGGCAAGATTGAGTCAAGCAGTCTTACTCATCCGTACTATGTGGGCAATTTATGTAAGCACTACTTACTTTGTCCTCTGCCGCACAAAGCCTGCTGACTTTTGTTCCTACAGTTGTAGTGGGTCCACACCAGGAGACATGCTTTATTTAGAAGTGTTTTTTTTTTTGTTTTGTTGGCCAGTTCACACTCCGAAAAGTCACTATGATGCTAGTTATTGTGCCTATCTGGAGGACTTAGTTCTAATTACCTCCTCCAAAAGGGCACAAATAACCAAAGCTTAAGGCACAATAGAAAACTGAACTCATTTAGTTGGAGGCCTCTCGTGTATCAGACGACCTATTGTTTTTGGAGGTGACGGTCGCCTCCTCGCTGGTGCAGGATTGCTTCTGGCCTTCCAGTTAGGAAGGAGGTTATTGTTGAGCGATACTGTAGCTGGAATTAGGTTAGGAGGTGAAATATGACACACAGGGGAAGACTCTCTTTCCATCCGGCCCTGTTAGCTACCATCCTGTTCCCCCCCCTACAGATGGCCGGCCAGCGGGCGCATCACTTTACCTCAGCCTGTCAACAGCCCTGTTGTTCTGAGCTTTGTGTGTGCAGACAAAAGGGACCTGAGAGGGCTGTGGGAGGCCAGCACGGTCCGGCCTCCGCTGCTGGTGTTGAGCTGGAACCAGCAGCTAGAAAGAGAGCCTGTGGTCCTCTGAAGAAGTTGGCACTTTTCTTCGATTTAAACTTTTTTTTTCTTTGATTTGAAACCTTTGCTGTTGATGCGCTGTGGATCACGCAGCCGCCACATTCGAACCACAGAGCTGTAAAGTTTGTATATTTTTACTCGTGCATGACAAGTAGGTTGAAATGAATCCTCCACACCTTAACCGTCACTATACGCCCGGGTGTTGTTGTTACTGCAGCTGACGGTCCTGCATCGTTAGAACGAGCTAACGAGAAGCATGTAACCGTCTTCTCTTTTGTTGTGTTCAATCGACCGTGTGCTGCACTTTTCTGTACCCGGGGTAAGGCCAGTCAGTCTCTCTTTTAAACTTACAGTGTTTAAAACCAAGGATTGTTGTGTACTGTATCCTCTGAAGTATATGCTCCTTTTTTTTCTTGATTTTTTGTTTTCCTTGAAGAGAGAGAAAGTTTTGAAAGTGACAAATCAAACGTGTGAGAATCAGCATTTTTCCTTTAAAATGCGTTCTTGAAGTGTTACCGACCTGTATGTATAAATCTTTCTTAAAAGTGTTATCTGAAAGCCCCATTTTAATTATTTTTTCACATGTCAACTGTGGGAAAAGCCAAGTTTGTTCCCCACAAATAACTTTATTTTTTTTTGAAAGCCCGTCACAATGCATCGTTTTGACTTCCTTTTATGACATTTTTTTTTTAAAATCTTTTTTTAAATTCTATAATATACTCTAGGCGACCTTGTTGTCCTCGATTTCCACTTTGTGATTTATTTCTTTCATGACTGTAGAGATGAAATAGTTTCTTTGCTGTAGTGAAACTGCTATGAATGTGAATATCTATTGGAGAAATAAATGCAATTACAATGCAACTTCAAGCACGACGTCTGCGGCCTCTTTTTGTTTGTGGTTTGTGGCTCTGCATTCAGACTGTCAGCTGATATTTATAACTCTTTTGGGGGGTTTCGAAGCCGTCGGTTTCCTCGGCAGCTGAAGCACCATTACGGCAGAAAGGGCTGGAGGACAACAGAGAGCTCTGTTCTAGTAACTGCTGCACTCTATTGTCTGGCCGAGGTGGAAAATGTGCTTTCAGCAGCCTTTAACCCTGTGGAAACTCACCCAGACCGCCACCAATGAAGCTCTCTCTCTTCCCTTTTTTAAAAAAAAGAAATCTTCCTCTTGCCCTCTCTTGTTCTGTCGGCTTTCTTCTTCTTCCCCCTCCTAACGTGCACACACACACATCTTATAGTTTATCCCCGTAGAATCTGTGCCAGTTCTCTCCAAAATGTGTTTCATTCATTTGCAGCCAAAGTCTTGCCATCAAAGAACTCCAGTCTTCTGCGAAAATGAGGCGTCTCTGTAATGGCCTTTATAAGAAAAAAAAAAGAAAACAGGCTTGGTGACAAACACTTCCTCAGAAATAATGAAATCCAGTGAAAACACTTGGAATCCCCAAATAAACGCCGCAATAATCTCACCGCCGAACAATACCGCTCCGTTGCAATTACATCGGAGACACTGTGAAAGGTTTTCATCCAATATCTCTTAGGTTGGGCAATTTAAATGCTGTGTCATAACACAGCGGGGAAAATGATGTGAAAGCGTTCGGTTCCCTTTAAGTGCAGCAAGTCTTTCATTTCTCCAAATACCTAGATTGAATATTCAGGGTTTCACTCCAAACTACTTCCACTTTATTGTGCCTTTGGCTGCGCAGTGAAAAGGCGAAAGGTACCGATGACGTCGGTGTTGGTGCTTAATTGATTTGAACCTGGCAATGTGACACTGCCGGTCCTCTGGTGGGTCTATAGAAACGGAGTTGCGGGAGCCAGCGATGGTGACGTCAGGACGGAGAAGGGGTTGTAACCTCTCTCTGTCTGTTTGGCAGCTCCTTTCCAGACCAGCAGGCCACTTGGAGGCAATGCCTTTTAGAAAGCCTGTCAGGCATCTGCGACCTCAGGACACTGCAGTCGGGAAGTATTAAGAGACTTTTTGCTTTGTCGATTTAATAATAAAGCATCACAGTGTGGTTAGATTGGACTTATAGGTTCAAAGAAATGAGTAAAATCTGTACCTGAATGATAAGAGTTTACATTTCCTTGCCATCCTCGTACTAATCAGGCCGATCAGCTGACCTCAGTGCGGCTGCTCATGTGCGTCACTTGCTGAGAACAAACTGAAGAGAAACCTGAAAAACCCAGAAGTGAAAATTGTGTCTAGTGATGATTTCTGAGTGTCAGCTGTCTGAGATTTCAAAGGATTTTGAAGCAAATATTAAACCTTTCGGGTCATCTTAACTTTTTAATATTAGTATATTTACATGATAATGACTTTAAAGGCAAAAACATTCACAACATTTTGTCTTTGAACATTTATTTAAATCATCAATGAGATAATTTGTATATTTCAGCACATTTCAGATCCCCTGGATCACAAAAAGTAATTGTCTCAGTCTATGAAACCAGCTGGGGATGCTTCACGATTAAATCTATTATTAGAAAGTTAGTTAGGAAGTAATGTTTTGCAATTTAAAAAGGATGTAATGTTACAGTGTGTGTGCTTAAAGGTTCACAAAATGGGTTTTCTTGTGCTCGGAGTCAGAAATCACACAAAAACCTTCCAGTTTTATTCCTATCAGTCTGCAGAAGGATTTCACAGGAGTTTGCTCATTGATTTGTCATTGCCTGATTTATAGAACATTATATTTTTATTTTTAATCTCATTTATCTGGCTGCTGACAGTATTTTCTGATTTATAGAGCGATATCCAAAGTCCACTCGATGAATACCTTTAACATGTTAACAAGCTGAAACAATCATTTTTCTGATTTCTGTTCTGGAAATATCTGCAAATAAGTTCGTATTTATGTAGATTTTTTTAAAATTCACATGTGTAAGCAGAACATTTCGGAAGCAGGAACTAATGATCTTATTGTAAGTAAACAACCGGGGAAGTTTCACTGTCAAGAATCTATTAGTTCTAAGTTTGACCCTGTTGACCTTTTTCCTTGGAAACCAGAGGAAGCGTCTTAACTTCAGCGTTTCATTCCACTTGTAATAAATTGCTCAATTACTCACAAACACACCAGAGAAGCGTGGGATCTCATCTCACTGTGGTTGCGGCTCACATTATAGAGGCTGATCAGTTTCCTTTTTTTTTTTGCCGATTGTGTGTTTTCTAATCAGCCACAGTGCAATGATCTAGAGCCAACTGAGAGTAAAGGATGATGTTGGATAATGTCTGTTTATCAAACGCAGGGAATTACAGTAACGCAGGACATTTATGCACAAAGTAAGCCACAAGGACAAATGAGGTTTAAATTTTGACTTGTTGCATGATTGGCAGTGAACCATCCTCAGACTGTTTGTGGCATTAAAGTGGTGCAACGTGCACTGTTACAGCAAATGGTTTTTGTTTTTAATCTTTTTTTTTTTCCAGCCACACACTGTATTTCTGCTTTGCTGATATGGCACGAGGCCCGCAGCAAGTCTTGTGAAGCGAGTTATTTGGGAAGAACTAAAAAACCCAGGAGGGGAAAAAAAAAAAACCCCAAATGAAATTCAGATTTCTTTACAGAGAGAAAAGCACTTGTGACTTAAAGAGAGAGGACAATCTCTCTGGCTGAGTGAGCTGACTAATGACAAACTATCCCCCCAACACACCAAACCTTCATTTGCTCCTGAAGCGAGACACGAGAACGGGAGTGTGTCTGACCTCTTGTGTTTATTTGGTGTATTACCGAAAGCCGAGCATCAGCCAGACGAAAGGTGGAAAAGCGGCATTTTTCAATCAAAGAAAATCAAGGACGTTATTTTAAGTGGTAACCTTAATTGAGGCTAATTAGCAGTTCTTGCAGACGTCGTACAAAATAAGCTAATTGATCGGGCTTCTCCAACAGACCAGATCTGGAAGACACATAGAGAGAAAAGAAAAGCACAAAACATCATCAGTTTAATTAAGAAATGAATCTACTCCACACACTTCCTCTCTCTGTCAAAACCAACCACATATCACCAGTTTGCAGGAGCACTCGACATCTTTGGTTTTGGATGACCAGGGTGCACAATCCGATGGCTGAGTCAGAGATCTTCAGTTCCCTTTTAGCACAGGACAATTATTATTTTACTTTAGGGGCATGGGGGGGGTGATGTAATCAGCTGATGGATATGAGCAGTCCTTTGAACCTGTGGGGCTGATGATTCCTGATAGCTCATGGAGCAGACGAGTCTTCTGCAAACAGGATGGTCTTCCAGCGGCAGAAGGGCTTCACCTGACGTGGTGGTGGTGCTGGTGCACATTCGTTCAACTGAAGGCTGAAAGATGCAAGAAATTTCAGTGGTGTGACTGTAAAATAAAATGTCTCCTCTCTCACTTTCCTCCTCGGCAACGATGAAGGGTTCCTTTGACTCTAACGGGTCACTGTCACTGATAAAGTTCTGTGCAATGACCCTGAAGTAGTGTTCTCTCTCTGGAAGAAGTCCAGTCATGGCGTACTTTCTGCTAAAGACGCACTCGGCCACCGTGAACCAGGAGGCAGCGCTCGTGTCTCGCTTGAGGAGGACATCATGTGCAGGTCTGGGATGTGATCCACTGCAAAATGATGCAGGACTCTGTCCTGTCAACAAAGAAATGAAACGATATGGGTGCAGTCATGAAAAGTGAAAGACTATGTCCAATCTAAAGCAGCTATTGATGATACCTTGACCTTTGAGGAGCTCCTTGTCGACTTGCTGCCTCGTGTTGCTTCCTTTCTTCCTCCTCTCCAGAACCAGCTCATTAGCTAACAACTTAAAAGCCAGTAAGTAACTGCAGAAATAACGGAAGTGTACAAAATATTGTAGAGTACAGAACGACCGCTCATCACTCCGTCAGCTTGTTATTAATGATATCAATGTTAATTCAATGCTAAAGCTATGTTCTGATCATCCATGAATCTAATAGTGTCGATTAAATGAATGCAGGACTTTAAAATTGGCTGGAAATGAGCTGCTTGGTGGAGGTCTGCGCTCTCCGAGTGCTTTTTTAGTTATGATTGTTATTACCGTTGTTTTTTTATAATGTTATCCTCTATTTCTTTTACCGTCTTTTGTTCTTTTTCTCTCAGTGTGATATGGTATTTTTGTTGTTTTTATTATCTTACATGTACCCACTGGTCTTTGTTGCACAATTTCATTCTGTAAAACTTTTACCATCTTTAACTCTTTTTTTAGTCTTCCTTTTTTTGACCAGTCTGTTTCTTGTAAACTCAGTTTTTAAAAAGGTGCCATATAGTAATCTTCTTCTTCTTCTTCTTCTTCTTCTTATTATTATTATTATTATAATACAAGCCTCCATTATAGACAAACATCACATTTCTCCAAAGCTTTCTGTCGTTTGTACCGAGATGTTGTAAGATTTTAATGCTGGCATTTGCGGTTTAAATGACCTCTCACCTGTGGGCGCTCCATCACGGACCTCCTCCATCTCCAGAGGCTCACTCAGTGCACTCACAGCTCTGATACAGAACCGGTCCTCTTGGCCTTCCTCCACTTTGTCATCTCTGAACACGGTGGTGCTGCTGTCCGCCTCTCTGACCCTGATCCAGGACTTCTTACCTGCTGTGCGTCGCTCGATCACAAAGCTGGTCGCCTGTTCACCTCTTAAGGAGCCTTCCACTTTCCTGAAAGCTCGGGGAGGGAACTCAACTCTTCCTCGAGGAGACTTTGGATGGTTTAGAGAATGAAGGAAACGAGGAGTCTCAGTTTAATGTGGTGAATGTGTCGCTACACCAATCACACGGAGGTGCAGGTCGACACATTCACTGTTGAGACGAAGCATAATTGCGTCGCTGTTTTCTCGCACATGTAAAAAAAACCTGTTATTTGTTTACGTGCAGTTGCGT